AGGCATTTGGCCTCAGGGCCACCTAACCAGCTTCCTTCAGTGCCCTTCCTTTCCATGAGGACCCCATGCTCCAGCCTGGTTGCTCCAGATTCTCTTACAAAGGAAGAATCAATTAAGTATTGATTGAGCTTTTCTTATGTGCCAGGCACTGTGCTGGGGAGGAGGAGGTCCAAGCACACACACACAAAAAAAAAATGAACAATCTTTGCTGGAAAGGAGCTCTCTAAATAATGTCATATTCTAACAAGTACAAATTCTAATGTTGTTACCCTGAAACATCCAGTAGAACATTATTATATTGTTACATTCTAATGACTACTACAACAACAACAATAATAATTAAATGTTGTTACATTGTAACAATCAGTACAACATTCTGATGTTACTTCTAACAAGTATTCTTATATTGTGATATTCTAACAATAACGCTCTGAGGTCGTTGAATTCTACGACTGTATTAAGTGACCATAAACAAAACAAATAGATACAAAGTAGTTAAAGTTCAGAGGATGCCCCCCCCAAGGGCAGAGATCAGGAAAGCTTGGCGGTAATACTACAGACCGAAGCAGTAAGAAGTCCACATGTTAGGAGGAACTCGATGCTTAGCCCTAAAGATTGAGTCTCTCATAGTTGAATTTCAGGCTCTGAGATACAGAGTATATTTGCAGCCCCTTCCCACCTCCAAGCCCTCTCAAAGCGCTGGTATTTAGGGCTAGTCCAGTGCCTGTCCCTAGGTAATTATTGTGATTGTTTAGATGATGATTACTTGTGTCTGTGATCCTGGAATGATCCTGGAAGGCTATTTCCTTCTCCAGCTCACTTTACAGATGAGGAAACTGAGGCAAACAGGATGAAGTGACTTGCTCAGGGTCACACAGCTAGTAAGGATCTGAGGCCTGACTCGAACTCAGGCCCTCCTGACTCCAGGGTCAGCACTCTGCCATGCCACCTCGCTGCCTTTGCCCCTAGGGGATGGACCTAGTTATAAAATCATAGGAGAAAGTAGACCAGAGGTTATTTAGTCAATGAGATGGGGCAGCAGAAGGCAGGAAGACCTGTTTCAATTCTGCCTCAGACACTCGCTAGCTTCATAACCTTGGGCAAGTCAGATCTTTCAGGCTCAACTTGCTCCTCTGTAAAATGGCGATGATAATAATGATAGTAGCACCTACCTACTAGGGTTGTTGTAAGGATCAAATGAGAGAGTGGGAAAGAGCTTTGCAATCTTTAAAGTACTGCAAAAATCCTAGCTATTTTTATCATTATCGTCGTCACCTCGTCCATGCCCCTCAGAACAAGTGCAGGGGAATGCACTGACTTCCCCAAGGCTGCAGAGTCCTCTGTGAGCCCTCAGCAGCACTGGGAGATGCCCCGTGGGGCCGCTGTGGGGCCATGGGCAGGAATGGGTGGTGTGACTGGTTGTAATCTGAAGTAGGCAAGAGAGCGCTCACGTCTGTGAGATCTTAGGCCAGTCAATTCACCATCTACAAGTAAGGGTCTACAATGCGCCAGACTGGAGATCCAAGTACAAAGAATGAGGTAATCCTCACTCAGAAGGAACTGACATTCTAATGGGGGAGAAAAGCCCGAACTCGAGCGAGCCCTTCTGTGTGTGTGTGTGTGTGTGTGTGTGTGTGTGTGTGTGTGTGTCTATGTGTCTGTGTGTCTATGTGTCTGTGTGTCTATGTGTCTGTATGTGTGTGAATAAGGTAGTTTGGGAGGCAGGGGAATCCGGAGAGGCTTCATGTAGAAGGTGTTGTCTGAGCTGCATCTTCTGGAAGGAGAGAGTTGGGGATAAGGAGAGAGCACTGGGGGATAGTCAGTGCAAAGCACAGAGATGGGAAATGTGTTGTGGGTCAAGAACAGTAGTACTGGTCCTTGTCAGGTTTTAAAGAAGGGGTAAGAACTGAATGAGACCATGGGGAGAGAATGCATTCCAGGCACAAGGAGGAGCCTAGACAAGGTCACAGACATGTGAGCTGGAAGATTGGAAGTGTGTGGAGGGCTACTCGGATATCCTAGATAGACCCTCTACCCAAGCATTCCGAATTAGAGGAAAAAAAGAATACATTTCCCAAAACAATCAGTGTGAGCCTTGGGAGGGAGGGACAGCTAAGAGACAAGCTCATGGGTCCATGTGAGTCTCGCAAATAGTCTCTCTGTCTCTGTCAATTTAGAAATATCACGGCTATTCAACACTCCATAATTAGACATTGCACTGTATTCAAAACTTGTGGTCTGCATGGTGGTGCAAGCCCAGTTACACAAGAACAGGCTCAAAGCCATCTGTGCATGCAAGTACTCTCTCACACAGTACCAGATATAGGCTTGGCTAGGAGCTTAGGATTAACAGCATTCACAAATGAGGTTGTCTGTCCTTGCCTTGAAGGTTCTCCCCTCCGAGTCAAAGGGACAGCCTGTGCTATACCGGGCATCTCCCAGGGTCCTGCCTGCCCTACAAATATCCCCCTCCCCACTGACTGGCCATAGCTTTGTTCCTTAGTTTGAATTCCTCCCATCAGAGTCCTACTTTTTGGCCAGCCATCAAAACTGAGGTCTCTACACCTGCCAGGTGGTGGTCCTTAAAGACCTCTTTGGAGGTCTTCAGCCAAGGCTGGGTCACTTTTCTTCAACAATGTTGCTGGAAGGAGTTCACAGGCAAGTTAGATTGGTGGATCTCTCAGAAGTCCTGCCAGGAGGGTGGTAACCTGGTTCCTGAAAAGTCACTCATTAGTCAGACTGTCACTAACCAAACATTGATTAAGTGCCTGGAGAGGACAAGAAAAGCCAGTCCATTTGTGGGCAACTTGTCCACCAGATCCCTAGGATTGGTTCAGCAAGTACTCTAGGACCTCCTTTCACAAATAGGGAAACTGAGGCCCAAGAAGGTTGTGACTCTGCCAAAGCCAGGGCAAAAACAACCACCAAAACAGTACCAATAACAGGCATTCGTGCTGCATGTTAAGGTTTGCAAGTGCTTTACATATGTTCATTCATCTGACTATATTAATTAAGCTGTACGTGCCAGGCCCTGGGCTAAGTGCTTCAAATACAAATACAGTCCAAGCAAAGAGAAAGACAGCCCCCCTCCACCCTCCCTCGAGGAGCTCCCTTTCCACCTGGCAAGACAATACAGAAAAGGGAGCTGAGGGGAGAGAAACTCCAGCACTTCCTGAAAATGGGCTTTCCTGGAGGAAATGACCAATCAAGAGAAAGAGATTTTTTGAGGTGAGACAGTCACATAAGAAGTTAGTAGCAGAATTGGGAGAAGGCTGCTGTCTCCCCACATGCTGCCTTTCCTAGGATCTCCCAGTACATTTCATCCCAGATTCCTAACTGCACAGGTCCTCCCCACCCCCACCCCGACTTGCCTGGGCTGGGAGAAGACCATGGGAGAGGGGAGCCTGCTTCCCTTCCTAGCTCCAGGGCAAAGGGAGGGGTACTGCAGCCTCCAATATAGAATCAGTATTTCTGGGCATTGATCGTTCACGGAATCCTACAGTGCTAAATGAAAGAATACTTCTCTCACTCATTCTAGGTACATAAGTGAGGGATGTACAGGCTGGGGAGGCGGGGGAGAGGGGAGAACAGACCCCAACCCAGAATTCCAGGCCACTGGGAGTGATTGACTAAGACTCATTCTGGGTCAGCGGTATAATTTTAGTGAAAATGCAGAAGACTGGGATGCTGAACCACCCAAAGGGTGATTTTCCTCTAAATCACTGTAAGGAGAAAAGAGGCAACATTCCTGATTTCTTTTGCATATAACACCCCATCTCCCATCTTTACACTGTACAACCTCCCCCCCACCATGTGACTGGGGTGCTCTCCTACCTAATCTCCACCTTTTCAGCTCCCCGACTTATTTCAAGACTCAGACGACAACAAGAAGTCAGACTTTATTCGAGCACTTCAAGGTCTGCAGAGCATTTACCAATATAATAGTATTGGATCCTCACAACATCCCTGGGTGGGAGGTGCTGTTATTATCCCCATTTTAAAGAGGAGGAAACTGAGGTTAAGAAGTTAGGCAGGGTCCCCCAGCAAGGAAGTGTCGGAGGCTGGATTTGAACTCGGTCTTCCTGACTCTGCAGGAGGCCTCTCTGGTCTCCTCACTGCTCTGGCCTCCTCACTGCTCTGGCCTCCTCGCTAAGAGTCCCTGCCATTTGTCCTGTGGGCGCCATGGCTGTTTGCCTGTGCTCTGCCCCCATTACAGTGGAAGCTCCTCTAGGGCAGGGACTGTGGTTTTGCATTTTCGGCACAGTATGGCAAACACTGAGTAAATGCTTGTTGACTGACTGACTGACTTCTCTGGGCCTCAGTTTCCTTATCTGTGAACAGGACTCCCATCGACATAGGGAAGGAAGTGCTTTGCAAACTGTGGCCCAACGTTGGGCAGGCCAGTATGATGATATTGTGAATGATTTTACATTTTAATCATTGGAAGTTATTTTAAAATAATCACATTTGCTTAATTGAACGTTTGATGTTTTGCGTGGAATGGCATTGCTACTGTGAAGGGCGAGACAGCTGGTGAACTTCGCCCCCACTTCCCAGCTGGGAAAACGCCACAGCCACGTGACAGATGACGCACGCTCCTGCCCCGCCTCCTTCGGGATCCTCCCCTTCCGCCTGTCCGGGTCTTCTGGGCGGCCCCTTTCTGCGGTCGCTCACGTTTCTCGCCGGACCCTTCCGGCTGCGCACCACATGGGCTGTACCACTACTCCTCAGAGCCCCAGGCGGGCCGATCCATAGTCGCGGTGACTCCTCGGGAAGCGGCTGACCCCACGTGGCCGGGGACACGTAAGTGAGGGGTGTAAAGGCGCTGGCGGCCCCGAGGCTCCACCCCCCCCTTTTGATTCCCCCCCATTTTCTTCCCGCTTGGACTCTTCCTCTCGTGACCACTTCCGCCGGCGGTCGCGCAGGCGCAGAAGAGCCTCCGGAGCGGAGCCGCGCGGCCGTGGTGCGGCCGAGTCCTGTGGGCGGCCTGTGGGGCGGACATGGGGCGGAAGCGGGTGCGGGGCGGCGCCGGGGGCGGCCTGGGTCGGGCCCTCATCAAGGAGCGTAACCTGCAGAACAGGCTCCAGCGGCGGCGAGACACGTGGGTGAGTGCTTGGAGATCCCCCTCTGCCCCCTGTTGGGGGCGGGGCGGGATTCGAACCCAGGGCCCTGAGGTGGCGGCTCTGACGTGGGCGTGCCCCCCCCAGCTGCACGCGAAGGAGCTGGACGATGGGGGCGCCTGGGGCCGCGTGGACCCGCGCTCCGTGACCGAGCCCACGGCCCTCGAGGAGTTCCTGGCCACGGCCGAGCTGGCGGGCACCGAGTTCGTGGCGGGTGAGCGCCCGGGACACGCCTGCTGTGCGCGGGTGCTGCCGAGGGGAAACTGAGGCAGGCAGCGGGGGGGGGGGGGGGGGGCTCGTCCACTCGTGACGCCCCCAGGACCCCCTCCTTCCCCACGAGCAGAGAAGCTGAACGTCCGCTTCGTGCCCCCCGAGGCCAGGACGGGCCTGTTGCCCCCCGAGGAGCAGCTGCGGCTCCGGGAGCGCCAGGAGGAGAACCGGGGGGCCCTGCGCATCCCCCGCAGGTGAGGCCCGCCCTGCGCCCCGGGGTGTCGGGG